ATCATATCTAATATTCTAACACTCCCCCTCAAGCTGGTGCGTATATATTATGAGCACCAAGCTTGTTACAAATGTATTCAACCCGAGGACCTCTAAGAGCTTTAGTGAAAACATCTGCTAGTTGATCAGAGGAGTTGACGAAAGCAGTCTTGATTTCTCCTGACTGAATCTTTTCTCGAATGAAGTGACAATCAATCTCTATATGTTTGGTCCTCTCATGAAAGACAGGATTAGAGGATATATGTAGCGCAGCTTGATTATCACAGATGAGTGTCATAGGTTGTTTCTGTTCACAAAGATGAAGCTCCTGAATCAACTGCTTTAACCAGACTAACTCACAGGTAGCATTTGCCATTGCACGATACTCAGCTTCTGCACTAGATCGAGCAACAACAGGTTGTTTCTTGCTCTTCCACGAAATTAAGTTTCCTCCAAAGAAGACACAATAGCCAGAAGTAGAGCGCCTGTCCGAGGGTGATCCTGCCCAATCAGCATCTGAATAACCACAAATTTCTGTATTTCCCTGATCTGAATACAACGAACCTTTTCCTGGTGCTCCTTTGATGTATCGGAGGATCCTCACAGCAGCATCCCAATGTGAATCACAAGGGGAATCAAGAAACTGACTAGCCGTACTAACAGCGAAAGAAATATCTGGCCTAGTCACAGTAAGATAGTTGAGCTTCCCAATTAGCCTCCGATAACGTCCAGGATCAGATAACGGCTCCCCCTGTCCGGGCAATAACTTGACATTAGGATCCATAGGTGTATCAACTGGTTTACTCCCCAACATACCAGTTTCTTCTAGGATATCCAGGGCATATTTCCTTTGACAGATAGAAATGCCCTGTCTGGATTGCGCCACCTCAATTCTCAAGAAGTAACGCAGCTTCCCAAGGTCCTTTGTTTGAAATGTACTAAACAAATGCTGTTTTAACTGACGAATTCTGTCTTGATCACTTCCGGTGAGAATGATGTCGTCAACATAGACTAACAAATAGATACACTTATCAGGAGATGTAATCCTATAAAACACAGAATGGTCAACTTTACTGCGGATTAAGCCAACGCCTGAACAGCAGAACTGAAGCGACTGAACCATGCTCGAGGAGACTGCTTGAGACCATATAAGGATTTCCGAAGACGACACACCTTTCCAGACTCCCCCTGAGCAACAAAACCAGGTGGTTGCTCCATGTAAACTTCTTGTAAATCACCATGAAGAAAGGCATTTTTGATGTCAAGTTGAAGGAGTGGCCAGTGACGAACAGCAGCAAGGGCAAGAAAGAGGCGGACTGACGCCATCTTAGCGACCGGAGAAAATGTGTCGCTATAATCAAGGCCAAAGATTTGAGTAAAACCCTTGGCAACTAAACGTGCCTTGAGACGATCAATATGGCCATCAGGTCCAACTTTCACAGTAAAAACCCAGCGACAACCAACTATAGACTTCTCTGGAGGAGCAGAAACAAGGTCCCAAGTGCCATTGGAATGAAGTGCAGTCATCTCATCAAGCATTGCTTGGCGCCACCCTGGATGGGAAAGTGCTTCACCTGTGGTCTTAGGAATAGAAATAGAAGAAAGACTAGAAACAAAGGTGAAATGAGGTGAAGAAAGACGGTCATAACTCAAAAAGGTATAAAGAGGATAAGGGTTACGAGTAGTACGTGTACTTTTTCTTTGAGCAATGGGAAGAGTCTCTGATACCAACTTGAATATAAAATAATAGAAGAATAATATGTTGTGTATTGATCTGTGTCAGAGAGTTACAATATATAGAGACCCTAATGGGCTTAAGTGAAAGGCCCAAACCTAATCCTAATACAGTCAGAATACAGTCAGAATATTTACGGATAAGACGGAATCCAATCATATCTAATCATATCTAATCATATCTAATCATATCATATCTAATATTCTAACAGTACTAATATCCTAATGATATCAATAATATTAATGTGAAATATATGTTTTTGTTATTCGTTCTTGCTCGAACTCTCTAATACCTATCAATAGGTTTAAGAGCCATCCTTGATCTAAACTATTCAAACACCCAGGTACAAAGCTAAAATACCACTCTACTTATCACTCACAATCGAATGGGAAGATTGAGGTTGTCAATAGATGTTTCGAGACTTACTTGAGGTGTTTTTGAAGCCAAATGGTCTAAATGGCTGCATTGGGCAAAGTATTGGTTCAACTCCAATTACAACCTCTCAATGGGAATTACACCTTCCAAAGCACTTTATGGGCATGAGCCACCAACTTTGACCAAGGGAGGGAATCATCTTCCTACAGTGGTTGAGGTAGCTAAACTTTTGTTGGACCGAGATGCAATTTTACAAAAGCTGCAGGACCACCTTGTCAAAGCCCAAAACAGGATAAAACCCATGCTGATTAGCATGGGATGGAGTTGAATCTCAAACCTGGTGACAAGGTCTACTCGAAGCTACAACCTCATATGTTGAGATCCATTACTAAACGCCTAAATGAGAAGCTTAGCCCCATATTCTATGGTCCTCATAAGTTTCTGGAGAAAATTAGAGAGACAACCTACAAGTTGGAGCTATCGGATAGTAGTAGAATTCACGACGTTTTTCATGCCTCTTTACCTAAGAAGGCTCTATTTGCTATTGCTATTCCATAACCTTCACCTACCATATTATCATTTAGTGGGAGTTGGAAGTCCAGCCTGAGGAGATCCTTAATTATAGGAAAAATGCAGTAGGATGTCCTGCAGTATTGATCAAGTGGCACAATCTGCCGGACTTTGAGAACTCATGGGAAGCAACAGTAACCATAGCTGACCAGTTTCCCAATTTCCACCATGAGAACAAAGTGTAAGTTTTGGGGGAGTATTGATAGGAAGTGACCAAGAATTACTAGGGTGTACTTGAGAAAGGGCAGTAGAGGATCGGAACCTATAAAAGCTCACTAAGTATGAAGCACATTTGGCGGGGGAAACTATTGTAGGTTGTGGTAACAGTTTCATGGGTAGTCTAATAAGAGATGACAGAAGAGAGAAAGGGGCATGTTGAATGTTTTGGATTAAGTAGGGAGAGACAAGAGCCTCTTTAAAGCTCTGGAGTATTTGGGTCTGTTTGAATATGATTTTTTTTTTTTTTAAAAAAAATTGTTTTGAATATAAATTTTGAAAAAAGAAGAACAATAAAACTTGTTTAAATACAGTTGGATTTAAAGTTATAAAGAAGTATTTATTTACAAAAAAGCCATTAATGAACTAAAATAATTACAAGATTGTCATCATAAAGTAATTTAAAATTGAAAAGAAGTTAGATTTATTTAGGAAAGTACCACCAATGAATCCTCGTAATTACAAAATTGTCATCGCAAAAATAATAAAACCATAAAACAATTTTTGAGAATATCCCTAGGCTGTTCTACATTTTTAGATTTAAAAACCAAAAAACAGTTATTGTTTTGAGAATCATTTTTTCAAAACAATCCTTTCCAAATAAGTATTTTTACTTTTTTGTTCTAAAAACTAAAATACTGTTTTAAGAAATAGAAATCAAATAGGCCTTTAATTTCCTTGGTTTTCTTACGTTTTCCTTTTGACTATGTTGATAGTTATTTATATCAGTGATATCAATACGACATATTTGCTTCTTTTCTTCGTTCTTGCTCGAACTCTCTAATTCCTATCACACACCCAGCATTTACCAAAATGACCAAACAATTTATTGATTTTATTCCATAAAGAAACAGTAATAAAACAATGCGAGAACAGACAGGAACAGATTCTGAACAAGCACCATACCTAACACATATAATAGGGGGGAATCCCTTATTGGGCTGACAAACCTGGAATATATCAGTAGCTTAATTCAATACAAGTTATAAATTGGAAATTGGAAAAAAGATTTGTGTGAAAACACCCTAAAAGGGTCAAGAGATCAAATCCTTTAATCCAAAATTGAAGCCAAATGAACATAATCAACAAGACCCAAAAGATACTCCAATTCAGAAATTTCCCATCATTTATGAAAAATTTGATAGGAATTTGCTCCTAAAGCAGTGGCAAAGTTGCTCTTATATGACTGAAAGGTCCCGGGTTAGAATCTAGGAAATAGTCTCTATGCGTAAATACAAGGGTGATGCTGCATGATAGGTGAGGTTATTTCTTATAAAAAATGTGAAAATTCCAAGAAAAAATGGAATATTCAACTGTATAGAAATTGTGGATATGAGAGTTATGTAACGAAGTTGTGGGCCGATAAACCTATGGTCTTCTTTTCACATAAGTTAACTACCTTAAGCTATGACATGACCATTAAAAAGCACAAGACCTGGATCTGTTACAAAATAATAACATGATTTACCATCATTTAATTTATTAAACACGTGATAATCAGCAACTCATAAACGTGACAATTTACTCTCTGCCAGATAATGAAACATTGTGGTATAATTCCACCAGTGATTCTGTTATCTTATTAACCTTCCAATTTTTTTCTACCTGAGCTGCTTCTTCTCTTTCATTTTATTGCCTGTTAATGTGGAAAAGAGGGGCGAAGACTGAAGAGGATGAGAACCGAAAACTACCAACAAAACAATAATAACTTTATCTCTAATATTAAGTCCACCAGACCTATAAAACTTTTCAGAATATATCCATAGACTTCACTAACCCCAACTTAATAGTACGTTAATCAAGGTTTCAACCAGATCAATAGTTTCAAAGTCACACATTCACCTCAAGCATCCCTGAATCCCAATATTCCATACTTTTTTATTCAAAAGAACAGTTTTTCAGTCAAAAACTCTCACCCCCAACTTTTTGATTACAAGCTTCTCTAAAACACAAAACAAGCTAATCATTGTACTAAAAAATAAAAATAAAAAATAAAAAACAAGCTAATTCAAACACTCACACACACTTAACTTATTCTTAGAAAACATCATGTGATATATAATAACAATGATCAAAGAATCATCATCAATTAAAAATCATAAAAAATCATGCAAAATAAACTTACGGGTTTCCTGACAACCAAACGCAATTTCTGGGACTTATCAGCAGTAGCTTCTTCACCCTGTGGCACCCACGGAGCAAACGCAAGCCGACCAGGACGCCATCCCGAAGACGATGCGGCGGCGGTGGTGGCGGCCGCAGCGGCCAAGTCTTTGGACTGAGGCTGCTCCGCTTCATTACAAGTTCTGACCTCATCCATGACCCACACTCCCAAACTTCAAAGATATCTCCAACTCACAGATTCACTTTCCCCAATTTCACTTCCATTATTATTACACTTTAATTCTCATTTATCCATCACATAAAATAATATAAATCAACACAAAAACACAAAAAGAGTAAAAAACACTGTTTACCTATGAACTGCTCAAGTAACCCATCAATTTCTTTTATGCTACAATTTGGGTTTTCCAAGGAACCCACCAACGGATTTTAATCCCATCGTGAACAGAAACACAGGAATCATCATTTGATTAGAAGAAATCCGAGATCCATTGATGACCAGAGATTGATGACAACAAGTGGTGATTCTGTGGCACCAAAAATGAATTAAATCCAACGGAGAAACGCAGAAAGAGAGGATTTTTTTTTGGGGGGGGGATTATTAGGCGAGGTGAAAGAATGGGATCGAAAGTGATTTTTTTTATTCTTTTGTTATTAGGATTGGGACTCGATTTTTTACTATCGTTGTTTGCTTCGAAACAACGACACGGGACTGTGATGCAATGGTGTTGTTTTGTTGGTCTCGGAGACAAGCACGACACGGGACTGCGATGCACGGCATCAACTTTAATTCTTAAATCGATTTTACATTTTTTTTTTAATTATTGGAGGCATATATATTATAATCATACGATTCATACCCAAGAGCCCAAGTGACCGCGTTAAAGACGAAATAAATTAATGTCAAGGGATTGGATTCATTTCCTTTTTTAATATTATCAATGCAAATTTTAAGTTTCTAGACCATAGACAATACTTCAAACATAAATGTAATAGTTTTTTAATTTTGGAATGTGAATTTTTTAATTTGTTGATATTAATTTTATTATTTTTTAATAAAAGTTGAGGAAGCGTTTTTTGAATGAATAGATTTTTTTAATATTATTCTTAGGAATTTAAATCATTTTCAAACTGACAACATAAAATTTTTTACCAAATTGAAATAGCCGTGAATGTCTTCTTTTTGCATTTTCTTGGTTTTCTTTCGTTATAATTTTGTAATACAACAAAAATATATAAAAAATTTGATAATTTGAATGAATAGATTTTTTTTTTTTTAATATTATTCTTAGGAATTTAAATCATTTTCAAACTACCCAATGGGTGCAGCTCAGTTGGTAATTTGGCGCTGAGTTAGTGGGGTTGGATATGTGTTTGATTCCCGCTGAATGCATTCTTGAGGAGGGGGCTGAACCTTTAGCCATCACTGTTCCCCCGCACTCCGGATTAGTCCCATAGCCGGCTCAAAGAGTCGAAGCTCGTGGGGATACCGGAGGGAGCCAACTCGTCTCAAAGAGATAATTAGGGTTGGGTAACTCCAAAAAAAAAAAAAATCATTTTCAAACTGACAACATAAAATTTCTGGCCAAATTGAAATAGCCCTGAATGTCTTTGTTATGGATATATATCATATTCTAACTACCCACTCAACAATCCACTAAAGGATAGATACTCAATTATCCTAACAATATCAAACAACAAAGATACTTAGGATGGAATCATTATCTCAACAGCAAGGAAGTTGAATCCTACTGCAACTGGGAGATCTTGACCAACCCTAGAGGTAACCCTTACAAATAAAAGGCTAAAGACTCCAGGTACACACTTTTGAACCTATTTACTATTACTGTCAACACTGTGCACACACTCACGTCTTGGCTATAAGCTTATTGCTTGTGCGCAGCGATTGTGATATTGGTCAAAGGCCAGATACATACCTATTCTTACGGTATCTCTGAGCGCATACCATACGGTATAGCAATACGGTCTTTCCAGGACCGAACATTGGCGCCGTCTATGGGGACGATAAAATTTCGATTCCCATTCCACGATGACGAACACCCGTTCGACGTCCAGCACCGCCCAGCCGCCGCCACACATGTCTGCACTGGAACATCTCCAATCAACAGTGTCTCTTGTGTTGGTGGATGTCCAGGTCGGAGAGGTCGGCACGCAAGTGTCGCCCTTCAGAGCCCAAACCAACGCGTCGGTGGAGACAGCACGCCCACCTCCATAGAATGATCAGCCAGGGGATGTGGCCACTAGGGCCATGAATGCAATCCTTCAAAGGATGCAAGAGATAGAGAACAGATTCCTGGCTCAACAAAGATTGGACGCCCAGAGGATGGAGGCATTGGAGGCTGAGCCATAACACTGAAGGCCGAGCTGGAGGAGCAGGCCAAGTTGAAACTGGCGGGCCGCAGCAACAGAACACGACCACGACAACCGAGACCGTGCGGAACCCTCGCCATGGCAACCACCAAGAAGGCGGAAGACCAGTCAACAACCAAGGAGATAATTATCTCCATGATGAGGAGGCTAATGAAGAAGGCTCATGAACTTGGCAATTCTGCTGAGGTTCAAAAGTGCCAGGATACCTCCATATGACGGAAGTCAAGACCCAGATGCTCACTTAGAGGCTTTCAAGATCGAGATGTTGTTCAACGGGATAACTGGACCTATTAAGGCCAGAATCTTCGCGACGACATTGATAGGTCAGGAAATGGCATGGATAACAAGGCTCCCTAGGAACTCGATCGATTCGTTCGAGGAATTGGCTCGAACTTTCCATCTGAATTTTGCAACGAGTAAGGCACATCTGATGCCGGCCTATGCCTTAGGAAGAATCCGGCAAAAGGAGAATGAATCATTGAGGAAATACCTCGATCGATTTAAAGATGCCGCCCTCAAGGTTCGGGATCTGACTGAACCGGTACACCTGCATTTGATCATCTCGGGATTAGATGGTGATTCTCCACTCGCAAAGTCAATCTATAAGAACCCGATCAACGATCTGGAGGAGTTTCAACAAAGGTCGGACAAATATATAGATGTTGAAGACATGCAGAAGGCTTATGGAGAGACCAGAGGACGGAGCCCGAATCGCCGAAGCCCAAGCAAAAAGAACAAAGACCGGGATCAGCGGGGATCGAAGAAAGGAAACGACTCTCATGACAAGAGATCGGATCTCCAAGGACCAAGTATGACACTTACACACCATTAAACATGTCTAGATCTCGGATATGGAAAGAGGTGGCTCAGACCGAGATACATAATGTTGAGAGACTCGAACCCTCAAGAGCAAGAGCGGGTTGGACATAAACAAATACTGTGCTTTCCATGACCAGAACGGTCACATCACGGATGACTGCTGGGATCTCCGAGATGCTATCGAGAAACACATCAGAGAGAGGAAATTGAAGCAATACATTATCCGAACTCAGGGCAAGAAGAACAGCAAGCGAAGGCAAAGAAGCCGGAGCAGAAGTCACAGCCCTAAGAGGGAGGAGAGAAAAGATCGGGAACAAGACCACCCTCCAAAGGGAAAAAAGGTCGAAGATAAAGATGAGGAGTTTCAAGAAGCTGAATTTGAGTGCAATGTGATAAGTGGAGCTTTTGGGTGGTGGAGGTGATAATGCAAATGCAAGAAGAAAATACCTAAAGGAGGTCATGTCCATTAGAGACAAACCGACCTTCAAAGGAAGAGCCAGCAATCCTGCTCCTCCAAGACTGTTCTTTACTCAAGAAGACCTAGAAATGGTCGTACCTGGACACAATGATGGTTTGGTGGTTACCGGGGTGCTAGTTAATTGCCGGGTTAAGAGAATCTTCATTGACCATGGAAGTTCGGCAGACATACTCTTTTAGAACGCTTTCCAAAGGATGAACTTGGATGAAAAAGACCTGAATCCCTGCGCCACCGAGCTTATTGGGTTCAACGGAGAGCCATCCCCTCCAAAGGGATATATAGACTTGAAGCTGACTTTGGGGATGAAAGAATCACTCTGAGCTGGAAGGGTTCGGTTCGTAGTAGTAGATGCACCTTCCTCCTACAATGTGATCATTGGCCGACCTACAATCCACGAGTGGGACATGTTAGTCTCCACCAAGCACCAAGCACTAAAGATGGTTGGATCAAAGAATGAGGTCATCACTATAAGAAGAAATCAGAAAGAGTCCAGGGAGTGCTATTACAAGACTTTAAGGATCAATCATGGAGGGCCGTCATCTCCCCCTAGAATCAAAGACGGAGGTAAAGCCCCCACCAGAGACCAGTCGGTATACCCATGTGGAAACGAAGTAAACTTGGTCGAATTTGACATGAGGGAGGAGCTCCAAGCACCTCGACCAGAACTCCAAGGAGAGTTGGAAGACATCAATATTGGGGAGGATGGCAAAGGACACACCAAAGTGGGAAAGGGCCTGGAGGCCGAGGTTAAGAAGGAGTTAGTCTCTTTTCTTAATGAGAACTCTAACGTGTTTGCATGGAAGGCATCGGAGATCCCGGGAATAGACCCAACCTTTTACTGTCACAAGCTTTCTATGTACCCTGGGTCGAAACCAGTGTCTCAGAAGAAGAGAAAAATAGGTCCTGACCGACGTCAGGTTCTGAACGAACACGTGGACGAGCTATTAGAAGCTGGCTTCATTAGAGAAATACAATACACCACTTGGTTGTCCAACGTGGTGATGGTGAAGAAACCTAGTTGGAAGTGGAGAATCTGTGTTGACTACACCGACCTCAATAAGGTCTGCCCAAAGGACTCGTATCTGATGCCCAACATAGATTAGCTAGTTGATAATTCATCAGGATTTCAACTACTGTCATTCATGGATGCGTACTCCGGGTACAATCAAATCCGACTACACCCAGATGACCACGAGAAGACCGCATTCATCTCGGAAAAAGGGAATTTCTACTACAATATCATGTCGAAATTGGAAGGAACCTGGAGGTGTACATTGAAGACATGATCGTCAAGTCGGTGCATATAACTACACATGTAGCCGACCTCAGAGAAACTTTCGAGCAATTAAGGGCTCAGAAAATCAGATTGAACCCGGCCAAATGCGCTTTCGGGGTATCAGCTGGGAAGTTCTTGGGCTTCATACTCACTAACAGGGGAATTGAAGTCAACCCTGACAAATGCAAGGTCGTCCTTGAGATGAAGCAACCTGAAAACAAAAAAGAAATCCAGCAGCTTACAGGTCGCCTGGCGGCCTTAACCAGGTTTCTGCCCAGGTCGACAGAAAAAGCCTTGCCTTTCTTCAAGCTCCTAAAAAAGGTGGCAGAATTCGGATGAGAAGAAGATTACAAAAGGGCATTTAAAGAAATAAAGAGATGCCTAGCCACCCCACCTGTGTTTTCAAAGCCAGAGCCCGAAGAGACGTTGATCTTATACCTCTCTGTGGGTGAAGAAGCCATTAGCACCGCCCTAGTAAGGGAGACTAACAAAGGACAACAACCGATCTACTTTGTAAGGAGGACACTACAAGGACCTGAACTTCGGTATCAGAAGCTTGAAAAGGTGGCGTTCGCTTTGCTTACCACGGCAAGAAGGCTCCGACCTTACTTCCAAGGGCATCGAATAGTCGTGAGAACCAACCAGCCCATCAGACAAATGTTACATAAACAGGATCTAGCTGGGAGGATGATCAACTGGGCCGTCGAGCTCTCGAAGTTTGACATATCGTATGAACCCCAGCAGGCAATCAAGTCCCAGGCATTGACCGACTTTATCCTGGAGCTAACCCCGTCCAAAGGGAAAGAAAAAGAAAATGAAGACCTCTGGACAATATACGTCGACGGGTCCTCAAACTCTAAGGGGAGCGGAGCCGGGGTGATAATTGAAAGCCCGGAGGGAGTGTTCATTGAACACTCACTTCACCTTTCATTCCCAACCTCAAATAACAAGCTAAATATGAGGTTTTCATCACAGGAATTGTACAGGAAAAAGAGCACGGAGCAAGAAGGATAATAATTCTCAGTGACTCACAGCTGGTAACTTCGCAGGTCGAAGGAAAATATCAAGCTAAAGGACCACTAATGATGAAATACCTCCAAGAAGTTAGAGAACTATTGGTCGAGTTTGATGAGGCGGTGGTCCAGTACATACCCCGAAATGAGAACAGCAGAGCGGACATCCTGCCAAAGCTCTCCAGCTCGAAAGGATCAGGAAATCATCGAACGGTCATACAGCAGAGCATCCCGGAGCCGACCATGCATCAACTTTAATTCTTAAATCGATTTTAGATTTTTTTTTTAATTATTGGAGGCATATATATTATAATCATACGATTCATACCCAAGAGCCCAAGTGACCACATTAAAGACGAAATAAATTAATGTCAAGGGATTGGATTCATTTCCTTTTTTTAATATTATCAATGCAAATTTTAAGTTTCTAGACAATACACAATACTTCAAACATAAATGTATAGTTTTTTAATTTTGGAAAGTGAATTTTTTAATTTGTTGATATTAATTTTATTATTTTTTAATAAAAGTTGAGGAAGCATTTTTTGAATGAATAGTTTTTTTTAATATTAGTCTTAGGAATTTAAATCATTTTCAAACTGACAACATAAAATTTTTTGCCAAATTGAAATAGCCGTGAATGTCTTCTTTTTGCATTTTCTTGGTTTTCTTTCGTTATAATTTTGTAATACAACAAAAATATATAAAAAATTTGAAATAAAAAATTAAGGAGAAAAGCTAATCATAAGGAATCAGCCTCCTTATTACAACCAAATCTCTACCATGGATTAAAGTCAAAAACCAAATAAAAGCATTGATTTTTCAAAAAATTATTTTTGCAGTTACTGCAGATAAGTTATCTGTATTTTTTTCCAAAATGACGTTATTTTGGGATTAAAAGATTAAAAAAATATAATTATAAAGACTATAATAACCCTAAAATAATTAAAATTACAAAAATATCATGATTTTTGCCCCAAAACGACGTCATATAAAGCTGACTGCAGATAACTTATCTACAGTGACTGCAGAAAAAGCAAATCCTTAATTTTTATAAAAGAATTATAAAGCATAGACATGCCAATATATAATAACAAATATAAAAACCTAGGTTCCATATTTCACAATTCTAACTAATTACATGAAAATTGTAAATCAAAACTAGATCCACATCCAAACACGCAATCCGGCTTTGATAACAATTGTAGAAGCAATTGCATCTGCGGAAGTATTTAGACCATTGTGGTTTGGGATGCAAACGTATCATCATCGTTTTACTGATTTACCTCTTGGTGTGCAGCTAATGCATAAGTACAACTAAAGGTGTGCATGGTTCGGTTCAGTTTGACAAAGAAAATTGAATCAAATTGAATTGGAAAAAATAATTCAATTCGAACTGAATCGAACTTTATTATTTCAGTTTAGTTCTGAACTGGTTTATAACGAGTTCGGTTCAGTTCAAAACCAGTTTTGGACTGGTTTTAAAATTAATTTTAAATCCAAATAAAAACTATAAAAAGATTGAAGGAAAAAATTAAAATGTATACTTATATAAATGATAGTGAAAATTAAAAAAAGAAATAAAAAATAAAAATAAAAATACATAAGAGAAAAAAGAAAAAAAATAATGAAATAAAAAAAAGACAGTAAATAAATAAATAAGAGAAGAGAAATAGAGAGAGAAAAAGAAACATAAAAGAAAAGAAAAAACCGATCCGATTCATGAACTGGTTTTCAGTCCAACAACTAGTTTTTAAAATGTAGTTTTTTTTAAGTGTTGTGTTTTTTGTGGTTCTTTTCCACACCCCTAAAATTGGTTTTTGAAAGAGTTTTGAACTAAAGTAAAAGTATGAAAATATTGAGGAAAAAAGTAAAAAAAATAAAATATAAATAATCCCACAAATTTGAAAAAAAATAAAAAATTAAAAAGAAAAATAAAATAAAGTAAAGTAAAAATAAGAGATAAAAATACATAAGAGAAAAAATAAAAAATAAAAAATAAAAAAACTATATAAATAAAGTAATAAAACTAAAGATAAAAGAAGGAAAAAAATAAATAAGGAAGAAAAATAGAGAGGAAAAAAGATAAATAAAAAAATAAGAGATGAAGAAAAAAAAACCAATTTGGTTCGTGGTTTTTTAAACTAATTCGGTTCTTAAATTGGTTTTGAAAACCAGTTTGGTTCATAAATCAGTTCAGTTCGTGAACAATTTTTCAAAAACAGTTTAGTTCAAGAACTAGTTTT